ATTAAAAATTATATTAAACGTTACTATGAAGTATGTAAGAAAGAAAGAAATTGAAAATATCATATTTAAAATGATTTCCTCTTGTTTCTTTAGAATTGGTTAAAATGTGAAGATGAAGCGTGTCAATATCGTTTTCGGCAAACACCATTATCTGTATTGAACAGTGTTCTAATATGTCCCGGTTGTACAAAAAGTGATTTAATACCAGAGGTAAGCAGATACAAGTAGATTGAAATGTTTTGTTATCTTTTCTCTGTGTAGTATGGTGAATCCGCCTTATACGAACAAATAACATTTTTTTTACATATGTTCAATATTGAAAGATATAAAAAATTAATGGGAAATACAAAATCAAGTGAGTACATCTTCATTTTTTCATCGAACTTTTGCATAGATCATAGATGTACAAGTGGTATTTGTTCGAACATTTTCCAATTTGTCAATAGAAAATTCCCTGTCGTATTTCCATAAAATAATACTCATACTTTTTTAGATCAAATCGATAGTGTATTAAAATCCTTACCATCTGAAATAGTTAAATTATTGTGGAAAAATATGAATGAGCTTCAACAGCATGTTGATCGATTTATTCGAAAAAATGGTTATGGTATTGTAAATTGTACGCAATTATTTGGTCAATTCTTTAGAGATTAAACAAAAGAGACTAGTCAGTTAGCTGTTTGTCAGATATGCATTTGTTTTATTTTTGTACGTACAGATTTTTCTCTCTCGCCTTATTTTCGGTTTTACTTTTTTCTATGTATGTGTATCAAAATAAACGCAAACGTCAGATGAATCGTTGCGATTAATTTTGTTGAGAACTTGGTGTCTGTTTGTTTTTTTACTTGAATGTAAATGAAAAAAAGGAAAATTAGGAAAAATTGAATTTTTTTTGTACAACTAATGAGAATGGTTGTGACTAATAAAATAAATGATGTAGCATTGCCATGTTCTGTATAAATTTGCAAGAGGAGCTAGTTAATTACAGTTCGTTTGTCATATTACATGCGTTTGTGTGCGTGTGGAAGGGGGAAGGTATCATTCATACAGAATTCGTTTATCGCAATGAAATAGTTGAACTTTTCGACAAAACTTATATGTCAGGTATATTCTAACGTTCGACTTTGTTATTTCTTTGTACTAGTAGATCTAGCCGCAAAATATAACTGTAGCACATGTAACAATTATCACGCGAATTTCTATCAAATGTCGAATCTGATAAGAATTT